TGCACTGTGAAGTGAAGTCGGATCAGTTTTGCAGCATTTGGCTGAATCTGAGCAGCACCCTGTGCACTTCAGAATTGATCTTGCAAAACTCCAAATCTAACTTTTAAATTATTACATTGATGAACGTCGGGTTATGGATGCAACAACATCTCTGCAGCTTCTTTTTTGTCAGGCAGGTTTTGTGGCAGCTTTAATTTTTGCAGTAATTCAGTCTGATAGATGCATCAAATTGGCACTCAAGTCATAAATTGAGGATCCCCTCTGCGGAGAAAGTAAAAGTTGTTTTATTATTAAGGATTATTTAAGGTTTCCTGCTGCTGTCACTGTCTCTGCATCTCAGAGAAACTCTACCTGCATTTGGCAGTGTCCCTCAGAGTGGTTGGTTGGTCGGTTAGTTGGTTAGTTGTGGGCTTTGCTGTCCTTGCTGCTGCTGTGTCAGTCTCTTGATGTGTGTGATTGTGCTGCCACTCCACAGATCCTGTGGTGGAGGCTGCTGCATCGAGGGGCCATGAGTTGCCCTTGCGTGCAACTTTACCCAAAGCACAGGCCGAAACGAGCTGTTTTATGGTTACTGGTTTATTTGTTCTAAATCTACTGAGGAAAGCAAACACAGGACTCACTGGCTGAAGATGAAAAGAGAATTAGCTTTGAGTAACGAGACGTCTCCGTATAACTGTCCATCTCAAGAGTACATAGGTGGCAGTGCTTCCTTACTGGCTTGCAGTTGTAGCTGAAGAACAGACTCACTGCTCACAGAAAAGCTTATGAACAAAATACTATACAATGTTAAAAAAAACAACAACAAAGAATGCATAAATAACAAATGCAGCATAACTATTTCTCAATATGGGATTTGAAAAAAAATCTAAAAATCAGTATGATGGCAAAAACTGAGCCTAAATCCCAGGTCGGGATGAACCGTTTCCCCATCACTTCTTTCTGTTTTCTCGCAAAAAATTCATTCTGTTTAAGATGATGATGATAACGAATCATGTAACTCACTTTTTCCTTCACCACATGTGCAGAATATGAAAACGTGCTGCAACGCTTCGTTCAAGGACTTTCTGAGTCTGTGAAAAAATACTCCAGCCAAGGAAACCGGGTGAGTACAGGGTCAGGGTATGGACAGGCGTGTGCGTGTGTGTGTGTGTGTGTGTGTGTGTGTGTGTGTGTGTGTGTGTGTGTGTGTGTTTTAGTGTGAAAAATTTTTTTTTATTCTCCTTATATAGGACGCTGCCAAGGATGCACTGGGCAGGTTGAAGATGGTTGAGAATGAGGTAAGGCTCGCTGTTGTGTAATTGTCATGTGTATATAAAAGCAGTTTGTTCAGTGTGTTTACACCTTCTCTCTGCTCCAGCTGGAATCGCTGAAGAGGAAACGCACTGGATGAGAGCAGAATAAGGAGTGGAGCCTTGGCTGGAGTACTGTTTTCTCTCTCTCTCTCTCTTTCTCTCATACACACTCATATACCAAACGCTACAGTGGGTACAATAAGTACCTTTAGCATGATTCATTGCTGCAAAACAACTGCATGAGCTAAACTGCTAATTCAGTCAGTTGTTCCTTTAGCTTGTGTCATATGTGGTTAGTTACCTGCCACAATAACCTAACAAACGGCTGCAGCCGCCAAGCAGACGGCAATTAAAAACACATCCAAATGTGTAAAGAGGGAGATGCATTTGCACTTAAACAAGACAAACACTACAGGAAACTGCTTCTAAAGAATGGCTTTACAGACTTTGCTGGTATTCTATTTTGTTTTGGGGTTTTTTTTGTTTTTTTCCCAACTTTCCTGTGACAATTCTTGATGAAGTAATCTGCCAGAAGACTTGACGTTTTACATTCGGCACCGGCTTTTGGTGTCTACAGATGACCAAAAATATGTGTGTGTGAAGGTGCGTGTGTGTGTTTGTCCACGCACTCTTAGGTGTGTTTAACCAGTGAACTAGAGGGTTTTTTTTTACCTTTTTCCCTGTATTTTATGTGTGTAATGAGCTTAATCTAATCTGTCTGCTCCAGTGTTCACAGATTACAGTAATCTGCTCCGTTTGGAGTGCTGTGATACGGGAATAAAAGAAAAAAAAAAAACAACAAAAAAATGGGGCTTCGGGGTGCAGCAGCCTACATCCCATGATAAGGGATTAGTGTTTATGTCACCAAAGAGGCGACTACATCAGACGTAGAGTCGCCTCTGGGGGCTGGGAAGAGGGGTTTTAACAGCGTGCCATGAATGTGGTAGAAGCTTAGCCTCGCTAAGAGATTGCTGCGTCTTCATCAGCTGTTTCTTCTTTGTCGTCTTCGTCATCTTATTTTCCTCGCACCCATTCCTTTCAAGATTATTCTTGATTAATAGGCTGCCCTACTCAGAATCTATTTAAACTCTTAAACAATATGAAGCCCGCTGTGCTGTCACTTAGTTTAAAACAGTTTAGAGCTGCTGCGTCAGAGTGCTTTTTCCCCCCACAGATTGTGGTGGATGCAAAAACAGAATTTGTCCCATTGAGCTCTCCAGTGGCAGCACAGTGGATACTGAAAAATCTAACCACAGGAAGGCGGCCCTATAAGTGTCAGTATGGCTGGGTAATTGCTCATTTCTGTCTCAGTTCTCCCACAGACACCTATGTCATCATCATCTTCCTCTCTGCCTTCCCTTCTTTTTGGAGAATAAAGTCAAGCAGACAAAATACAGATAAAACCACTTAAACTTTGACACGCTGACAAAGTTGAGGTGGGCAGATTGCAATGATCAGAATGATTTGCCACAACACCACAAGATGTACAAAAAAAAAAAAATCAGACAAATGTGGGCTGCCATGTATTCTGAGATCTGGGCAGATGTTTGGTGTGCTAATCTGACAATAGCTCCTGTTGCACGTTGATTGCATCCAGCCGGGATGTAGCAGACTACTTTAAGTGAGCCTTATTGTGCGTTTTGTGTTTGAATCCTCAATATTAACGATGTCTGGTAACTCCAGTTAATAGTTTTTTGGTCATGTGACACGTCAGATAATCATGTGTTCACGCTAATCCACTCACTGCTTCACTCCATTAGCAAATAATCCCGGTTAAAGTTGGCCTTCCACTGTGTGGTGACCCTTATGTAACACCCGTTGCCCCACTTTTTCTTTTTTTTTTTAATCAACAGAGGACATCTTTTGACTCTTTGTAAATGTTATGCTGATTTTGATCATCTCATATTATTTTGTAGATAGATCGTAGCATTAGAACATCAGATTACAATATTAAACATGGCTTCAAATCTTTAAACGTGCTCCCTTTCCTTCTAGGTGATCGTTTGTGTCTTATTTAAATCTTTGTACGGCACAGACTATAATCTTGAGCGCTCCTAAAACTCAAGCTCGAGCAGGTCTGGATTAATGTCAATGATGCATTTATGCAGCAGTGTAGTTTAAGTACAAATTTATTTGTAAAGCTTTGGGCATTAAGAAAGATTTAAATAGTGAATCAGCGGATTACTCAACTTGAGCAAATTTGAAGGTTCTGCTAATGGTTTTCATACTGTACGCAGGGCAGAGCCAAGGGGTGAACACAGCTGAAAGTCTGAACCACCTCTCTGTCCGGACCTTACACTCAGCTGTAAATCTGTTAGAGGGGCTATGCATGTAAAACTGGAGTAAACATGTGCCTGTTTGTTTCAGCAGAACCATTTTCTTTGACAATCAGCAGAGGGTTACATAAAAAAACAAAATTCTTAAAGTCCTTATGGTGGACCTCTATACTTCCTTGTATAAGTTAATCATGAAACTGAATGACCAATATTTGGAGATCAGTTTCTGGGTCGCCGGAAGTAATGGCCTCATGTTAGCAATACACACAGAAAGGAAAGAAGCCCCCGATTACTGCTTATAACTTTAAAACAAAGGGACTAGTATTTAATTTTAATGTTCCCGTGTTCTGTTTTGTTTTTCCTGTGGATGAAACGCAAAGCTGAATGAATTATTTGAAAACAGAACATCTGTCCCAGGAGTGGGGTTCACAGAAAGACCAGCTCTAATGGAAAATAGTGAGTTGGACTAAAACAACAACAGCACAAAGATGTCGTTCCGATTAAAAGAAAAACATCTGAGTGTGACCGTGTAGCAGCTGCATGTTTGAGCCTGCACAAAAAGTGCAACTGCACACCGCCACCCCCATCCCCGCCTAGACCACACCCACTTTTTTTTTTCTTTTAAATCCAGAGCTGTAACCCTACGTCACCCCAAACACACAAACGCACTCCTGCCACATCACCCCACTCCCCAAATAACCTTGCGGCCTCTGAGGCTGACCTGTTGTCGTAGCAACGAGCTCATCAGCATTCAGTGTGGTAGGTGGATGGTCAGGACCCGGGTGGAGGGACATATTGTTAGTTGGTCCTGCTGGTGACTCACACTCCGTTTCTGCATATACAACACACCACAACACACACACTCCTGCTCACTCTCTTTTCATACGATTGTTTGGCTCTCTGTCTTTATCCTGTTATTGATTTCATTTAAAAAAGTTTGGTCTGAGTTTTGTTATTTTTTTGTTTTTACTACTTTCTTCCTGATGAGTTGGGTAAATGTATCCATTTATTGTTGAAGCTGACATCTTTTAAAAAATTTGCTAAGTCACGTAAGGGCAATCATTATAAATGTAATATTTATATTTGGTAAATATGGCATAATATGCTCTGTCTCTTTTTTTTTTAAGTGAATGTCTTGATGATTGATGCAGTTTAAAATGGGAATGTATGACGGCCTGATTCTTGAGGCTTTATTATCTTATGTATGAGGTTGGTGTTGACACGAATAAAGTGGTGGAACCGCAGTGAGTTTGTGTCATTATTAAGTCTACTATAGGTAAGTATAACACTAAAACACATGAAATGTAATAAAGCTAACTAAAATAAAATATAAATGCAGTTTTTGTTTTGTCAAGAACACCCAGCCCGAGGGAGTGTTGATGCATGTGTTTTGGTAAGGACTTAACTCTGAGGGTTTGTATAAAAACTAAACCTAAGAAATGTCAAATGATGACAACTACACTGAAAGAATGAGAAGAAAAACCAGCTGAACAAAAACGAAAGAACAATTAAGAAACACATGTTTGAAACCACATTTGAGTATTGAGAATAAATTAAGCAGGGGTCAGTTTCCCCTTCCACATGGAAGACTTGGTTTAATTAATTTGAATTTTCTCTGCATCAGAAGAGGATCCAAATGTATTTATGTAAAGAAAAACACGACGTTGACGATTCAACACGTATTTTCCTTGTAGTGGAATATTTCACTTATGCTTTCACTCCTTAGCAAGCACACTTTATCTCTCTGCAAACAGCAGAGTCTTTAGTGGCTTTTACTCAATGCCAAAGGGTAGAACAGGTTCAAATGCTTCTTGTTTTTCCTCTGTTATCCGCTTGTGTGACTCTCGTTTCAGATAATGTGAGAGTCACAGACTTGTATATGAAGCACTGAGGTCTACTGTGCTCTTTACTCATTAATGCTAATCATTTATGAGTCTGTGCTGTGGTTGGTAACATGATTTTAATTTTAACTAAAACAAAACACTAGGTGTGGGGAAAATTGTTACTTGGTTTGAAACCAAAACTTGGCTTTCGGCCAAAACTTTGAAAAAAAACCATGTAAAACATCTTTTAGGTTTATAATAATAAATAAAATAAAAATAATAATAATAATAATATACTGCTACAATATAATAATAGTGATAAACTTTTTTAACTTAATCTTAAATCGCCTCCCAAATACCTCCCAAATTATAGTAATAGTTAAGAACTGAAACACAAAGTAAGCTGAAAATAAACATTATAAATAAATAAATGAATAAACCTGCTCTGTAAACCAGCAGAAACAAAAATGTTTTGTAAAATACTTAAAATGGAAAAATAAAACAGTTTTGTAATTTTATTACTTTTGGATTTTATGAAATTTTCACATCTTTACTTTTATTACATTAAAAAAAAAGTTTAGTTTCAGTTGAGATTTTATTACTTTCCGTGTTAGCCCAGCTTTTGCTTTCATCGTAATTTAGTTGTACAATTTACTTAAGGTAGCTAAGTTAGAGCAACTTGTTAATTGTGAGTGCACGGTACGGTACTGGCATATATACTAAATGAATCCGTTGCAAAAAGAAAAATGAGGTTATTCTAAGTACTGTGCACTAACTTAGCTATATTAAGTAAACTGTACTTTGTATTTTGGCAATTTTTTTTAGATTTTACGGTTATATTTAGAAGTTGAAACAGGTACAATAAAAACGAATACTGTGACTCAGTACTTGAGCATGTTGGACTCAAGACATTTCCTATATATTTTTTGCAGTGCTTATTTTAATCAAACTTCACAAGTCACTTTTGTTGGTTTTCCCTTTTAAGCAAAAGTCCAGTTTATATTTTTATTTCAGTTAATTAACCGGTTTTTGTTTTTCCATTTATAATAATCTTGATTATATATATATATCTGCACTGTGTTTAACAGGCATCGCCCCCACAGTCCCGTTGAGAGGATCCCCCATTGAAATCTACTCCGGTAACATATTGGATTGGTTTTTGCAGTGATTACTGCACACAGAGCATGCGGTGCTTGGTGGGAGGAGGTGTCGCCAGAAGACAGAAACAATAAAATCTTGGGACAAAAATAGACTTGTCTTTGCAGAAGGAGTCTGCTGTTGTTGGGGGAAGCTCGTGGTTCTTTGGTGTTATGCTAATAACGTACGTGAGTGTGAAATTTCCCGAGACAAAAGATGGGGGGAAAGAAAAAAATAAGAGGAAAATGTTGGGGGAAGGGATGGCGCACAGAGGCATAAGAGGGGAGCCTTAAAGAAATTGGACAACCCCGCGAGACTTTAGTGGGCGTGGACAACGAGGCGAGGGCTTCCTGCTCGGATGAACACGTGGTTCCGTGTCTGCCTTCCTGCTCGTCTGTCAGTGTGTGTGTGTGAAGGTTTCCAGCCCTTCTCTCACTCCTCTCCCTTTCATCCTCCCATACAGCAGACAGCACACCACCTTCTCCTCTCCTTCCTCCGTCCCACCCGCACCTCCTCATCCTCCCGCTACACTTTCCTCCTCTTTGCGACGGGACTGCCGACAGCCAGGCCGCGGTCACTTCAGCGTGGATCAGCTCAGAGAGGGAGAACTAGTGTGTGTATGTACGTGTGAGTGAGTGAGTGAGTGCGTGTGCGCGCACCCGCCGGCAACCGGTCCATCCGCGTTATTCCCCCTCACCCCCTTCCCGCTATCCTGCCTCGTTGCTCGGTCATGACGCTAGAAGCGATCCGCTACCGGACCGGGTCTCTGCAGATCCTCAACCAGCTGCTGCTGCCACACCAGACCGTTTACGATGACATCCGCTCGGTGCAGGACGCTTACGAGGCCATCAAGTCCATGAAGGTACGGGGTTCTTCTTCTCCCCTTTCTCCAAACCTTCTCCTTTCACCCGCTCCCCCAGCCTGCCCTGCACGCCTGCCGCATGTGCATTCATTCCCGTCATGCATGTGTGGGGTTTTTTGTGTTGTGTTTTGTATGTGTCGGGTCTTTTGTGCTCTCACCGCTGCATGCATGCATGCAGGCACACATACATGTGCTCGCCGCCGTCGGCCTGTATTTTTGTTTTTGGACCTACCTGCAGCATCGTCTCACCTACCTTTAAACCATCCGTTATTTATAGTTTTCACATCATGTGTAAGCGCGATAAAACTGGGTGTCTGCGCTCACTGAGCCACCCAGCCATGAAATATGCCTTCCCCCCTCTCTTCCTCCTCCTTTCTTTGGGAGAGATTATTGATGAATTATTAATGACCTTTGCCAGGGTATTTTTTTTTTTTTTTTTTTTGTTCGCGTTTTTTGGTTTTGTGCTGCACTCGGTGACACCTCCAGCTCCAGTTTGTCTCCACACCTGAAATCCTGAAATACCTGAGTGTTCACATACATGTAAGACGCTCAAGTTCTGTAACAGCTGGAGCATTTTAAGGTGTTTATTATTATCATTATTATTGTTGTTATTATAAGAGCCAAGAAGACACTAGACCTTTTGTCTTTCGAGTTGCACACACACTCACTAGCTGTTTGTTTGATCCTGTGTGTGTGTGTGTGTGTGTGTGTGTGTGTGTGTGTGTGTGTGTGT